TATTTGAACTTAACAACATCGACAAAATATTGCAATAACAATCATAAATATGAATGCTGGTCGTTATTTTAAAAAGTAAGTCGGGTACAAATGAAAAGAGTTTTTTTCTTTTTCCATCTCACTGAAACAGACTTTAAGCACTTCTATCTTCCCTCACTCCCTTTCATTCATTCAGTCTTTCTTTCTTTCTTTCTTTCTTTCTTTTCCTCACTGAAATCAAGTAGCTCTTTCCGGGCAACCAAAACGGAATAGACCATTATTTATAAGGTATTGGCAGGCGACATTCTAGCTACCTCCACAAAAATCGCGATACTTATGGTTTAAATTAATTAATAAAAATGAAGAAGCTTTCATTTTAGCTTTAATTGAAAGCTAAAGGTTTTAATTTACTATTTCCAGTAAACAAAATGCTCTGGTATATTTCAAACAGAAATTATATTGATTGGAATCAATTTTCTTTTTTTTTTTTTTAGTAACATCGTCAAAGTTGTTCATTTTTGAGACAGTTGAAAGCACAAGTTAGTTCTCGGTTTTAAAAATCTTGCATGAATAAAATATACTTTTTTGAAACTTCATTTGAGGAATATTAGCTAACTTAAAGTTTAATTAATCTGATTTTAAACAAATATTATTTACTTTAAGTTTAAAATATAGTAGAAATCAATTTTTTTAAACGAACAGAAGTCGTACTTTTAATAGACAGTCGTCGCGTTTATCTGTTTGATAAGGTGATGATAGATTTAATGTTGTTCTGTAGCGACTTTATCTGTAAAACTTAATTTAAGATAATGACGTGAGCACCGTATTTATGTCATTTTTAAGTAATCAATAATCTTTAAAATGGTATTTTTTTTCTAAAATGTATTACTAGTATTTGCACTATAAAAATGTATTTTTATACATTCATAGTGTTTTGACTCCAGTTTGGGGAGTTTGCTATTTACCCATAGCTGGGACCCTAACAAGTGCTACCAACCCGGGTGAGCGAGGACTTGGGAACAATAATTAAGAGGAGGTTCCATGCTCCTCCTCAAAACGTCCCAATCAGAGGCCTTCCTGCCGGATGTAGTCTATTGACTAAAGGTAGAGGGTTATAGTTAGAATGTTAATGATAAGTTATGGGATATGATAGCAAAAGATGATGTATTATAAAGATGAGAGGATTGTTAACGATTGATACTTGATTTGTAGGCGTCAAGTTTGTAGAGCTTAGGAAAGAATCCATGTCTGTTCCATAAAGAAGAATTTCTTGGAAAAGCTGTCGAACTTTCTTATTACATTTGGAATACGGGGGAAATATGAGTGATTTGATTTTGTGGAAGTTGCATGCCGTATCCCGGATGGAAGAGTCGGATATCCACTTTACACCCTATGTTACCAGAACGTTTTGGTAAACATTCTTTATATGAAGCAAACATCTCTCTATCTCTCTCTTTTCCCCTCTCTCTCTCGAACATTTGGGTAACATTTTTTGTATGAAACAAAATCTTTTTCTCTCTCTCTCGTGAAAATTTGGGGTAACATTTTTTACATGTAGCAAACATATCTCTCTCTCTCTCTCCCTCCTCCCTCTCTCTCTCTTGAACATTTGGGTAACATTTTTATATGAAACAAAATCTCTCTCTTTCTCTCTCTCTCTCTCTCGCGAGAAAATTTGGGGTAACATTTTTTACATGAAGCAAGCTTCTCTTTCTCCCCCCCCCATCTCTCTCTCAAATATTTGGGTAACATTTTAATATGAAACAAAATCTATCACTCACTCACTCACTCACTCGAACATTTGGGTAACATTTTTATATGAAACAAAATCTCTCTCTCTCTTTCTATATCTCTCTCTCTCTCGCGCGTGAAAATTTGGGTAACATTTTTTACATAAGGCAAACATCTCTCTCCCCCCTCTCTCTCGAACATTTGGATAACATTTTTATAAGAAACAAAATTTCTCTCTCTCTCTCGCGAAAATTTGGGCTACCATTTTTTATTGAGCAAACATCTCTCACCCTCTCTCTCACTTTCGAACATTTGGGCAACATTTTTATATGAAACAAAATCTCTCTCTCTTGCACGCGCGCGAAAATTTGGTTAAGATTTTTTACATTAAGCAAACACCTCTCTCTCTCTCTCTTTCTTTCTCTCTCGAACATTTGGGTAACATTTTTATATCGAATATTAGGAATAACATTTTTTATATCAGGAAAACATCTCTTTGTTTGTCTGTCTGTCTGTCTCGCTCTCTCAAAAATCTGTTGCATTGTTCAGTTCACATATATAGATTGCAATATCTCCCTGGAGGGTGGGTCTTACGTTTGTCATGTTTGATACTACAATCTAATCGTAAGCAGAGAGACAAAGAATGACACTTTGATCGTTAACAATGGACAGAGATACAATTTGGGATCTTGCCTCCCTCTTGGTGTAATTTGGAATAACTTTGCCACTTTGTATAAATGACAATATGAAAATAGATCAGTTCTCTCTGGTCATTAATGAACGATTT